GCCAATTTCCTCAGTGAACTGATGATATTTATTTCATATGATAATCAATCTAACCTTAGAACACCAGAAAGCGGGTGTAAGTCTACACGGTTCTGAACACCGGAGACGACAAGAATAACACACCTAAAAGGTGAGAGAGAACACAATAAAAGAGGTCTAACAACATAGAAACAATAGGAAAATAGATCAATAACAATCATTCTGATTTTGAGAATGTATGAGAAAAAGAACTCACACGCCAATTTCCTCAGTGAACTGATGAGGAGAATTGGCGTGTTTGAGGTGTTAGTTCTATTTAAATGTGATACATTGATGATCAATTAAGTTAGGTTTGATATTCAGATTGTATTAGGTTTGAATTGTACAGACATGGTTGTCGTGTTTGAAATGTTGATTGTAACCTGTCACTGTATTCATGTCATGTAAGCAATTCAATCATACTGTAACACTACTAACATATAAACCACTTACTTATTTAGTTTTCCATGTCAAAGTATTTTATACCAAGTCGAAAAAGGCAATCGAAGCGCTTCACACACACGAATAAACCTGTTCTGTACTTTTTGGACTACCAACCTTGTTCATAAGCGGCTCACATATTTTCCCCTTGCATACACAAAGTAGTGATCTCTTTAGCAGTTTGAAACACCTCCGAGTGAAGTGTTCACACCCCTGTTCCAATATTTAACTCGTTTTATATGGATCGAGTAAACTAGTGTACTCGTCTACTGGATTGAGGTTTGTTTAACTCAAAACCTCAAGTTGAACCTTGTGTTTAACATACATATGACTTTTTATTTTGAAAGCAACGAATATCACCAAAATCCTTATCTTTTATCTTTCAATCTCGTTTTTCTGTTACTTCGGACTTGATATCTTGAAATCCAACCGAAAAAAAATGTCATCTAAAATCAGTTTTATCTGCCTTTTGACATGTTCTTTTGAAAACCACAAATATCACTCAAAAATATTATTTCTCTTGTATATAAGCAGTTACTTATGCGTTCAATTTGTTTGCAATTTGATTTGTCCACACGTGATTTGCTCAGCCACCCAAACTCAATTGGAAATTGATGAGTCTCATTGGGACCTATGTAGCACTCTCGCTAACAAACACAATTTGTTCAAACTGAGCAAAAACAAAAACTTGACTTCATTTCAACTGGAGATCACAAAGGATGGTCAAAATGACACCTCAGAAAAAGTGTAAAACTTATAAATTTCCATCAACCCACATGGAATTGGTGTTTTTGGGGAAATCGAGAAAAAACTGAGAACTTTCTAATTCACAAACGTTGCTAAACTAAATAGACTTCAATTCATGGTGGTGAGGAAATTGCAAAACAGACTGTCTTGTCTTTGATCAGATAGGCGCGAGTTGCCCATAGCGGCATAAATTTCCTCTTCATCACTTGGTGCAGCTTCACGGTGTGACACCCAATCTTTGGTTTGTCCTAATTCCCATGTTCCATCTACTTCTTGCACGAAATTATGAACCACACAGCAGGCTGACAGCCAGGCATTCACGTAATTAGCACTCTTTCGATCCTTGATCACCAGTCGAGACTCCTTACAGGACTGTGTACGCCCCTTCCAAAGTCCATTCGTATGTTCAGATACAATTCTAGCCAGACTCAAAGCAAAGTTGAAATGTCGGTGTGCTCGGTTGAGCTCTTGATTCCTGGGCTTCTTGAACGCGGGGACTATGAATTTAGAAGAACTGTATCAGGAATCAGCTAAGAGGTACTCTCCCTCGCTAAAAAACCTTTCGATATTTTTAAAAAACTGGAGAAAAAATGACAAGTCAGTAAATTTTTGGGTGAACACAAATGAATAAGTACTTACCTCAGTTGATTTGAGCACATGTTGATCATGTGCACTTCCACACCAACCATGGTGAGCATAGATAATTTTTCGTTGATGATCGCAGATGATCAATGAATTCAAATCATATATGGACTTTCAACAGTAATAGTCTTCGCAGTTTTTCCGGGGTGCATACGCTGGAGGAATTAAGGTTCCATCTATGAAACCTACGCAGTCTTTGAAGAATGATGTTCAACCAATTGCCAATTTGATTTGGATTCGTTCTTCAGGTGTAGGCCATTTTACATATCTTGATTCAATTCGGTTCAGGGCTTGAATACATCGGTAAGTATAATTCTCTACACTCCCTTCTAAATCAAAGTTCAGCACATATTACCTTCCAGGTGAGATACAGTCCAATGCTTACCTGCCATCGAGAACAGTTTGGCTAAGACTTGACATTGACCCCCGTTTCCAGACAGCCCAAAATTGGCCATGGCGACCAAGAGCTGCCATCTAGGGGGCGCTTGAGAACAGTTTGAATTGTTGTAAAAGATTGGATCACCTGCAATTTCATCTACCAAGGTGTTAAACGCGGTCTTGGACATCCGGGCCTAACACATCCCAAAAAAAAAGTCAGTCATTCGGAAATGAGAGAAAATCATCAGATTTCACATACTGCAACTACCCAGGTCCGATGCGTCTCATTCCACCATTCGTCAAAACAGGTGTGCTTTCTATCGCGGCGCAACCCACGGGGAATTCTTGGAAGGAGGTATTGTTTCTTCTGAGCTCGTTCTAATCCATAAGCCAAGATAGCTAGTGCTGATTCGTCCTCCATGTATCGGCGTTTTCGAGATCTACTGAATGACATTGCATCGGATGTACTGCTTAAAATTAACTGAGTAGCCATCAAAAGAAGACTATCTTGACAGTATGGATCGACTGTAGCATCATCTGAATCAAGCTGATCTAAAATAATAACCGCGGCTAAGTTGGTAGTGAAATTGCTGGAGTTTGTACTGGTTTTGTAACAGTTGGTGGCCAAAGACGCTACCTGAAGTGCAAAGAAGCACTTCAAGTAGGCCATGACGTCGTGACGGGTGGTGGAGGATGGCATTGTGGAGATCGAGAAGGGATGGGGTGAATACGGACTCCCAGTTATGGATTGGGGTCTGAAACATGAATTCCAAACCCGGTTTACCCCGGTACACCCAGTTACCGCCAAAAAATCAACTGGGTGTACCGGGTTTTTTGGCAACCGGGTTTACTTTGAGAGCGGCTAATGTTCAAAAGCCTCTCTGCTTGGCTGGCTTGATTCCTGTCACAGGTATCAATTCTCTAGTGATCCAACACATCACTAGATTTGTATGTTGGCCCCATGCAGCTCAGCAAAAGGTACTTGTGAAACCTTTGATATGATTTGGCGGAATTCAACCAAATTCCTATAAATTCTATGGTGCCAGAACCGCTGGCTACAACTTGTTTGGCCTTTTGCCCAACCCTGCCCAGCCCCCCAGAGAACTGGAGGCTGAGTATCTGATAGCTAATATCAGATCTTAGAGGTACCAAATCCTACATGACCAGCAGGATTATTAGTCAGGATGCAGACATGAGTACCAGACTAGACCACTCACCTCTTTTAATCACAGCCACCCTGACAATCTGGCGGTTTCAGGCACCACTTATGCAGCAAAAAATGTCTTCTCCAGTGTAGCAGACGTCTGTTTGCAGGATTGTGCAGAGCTACATCCCCAAGTTGGTCTTTTCACAAAGGTGAACAAAGGATAGTGTAGACCTTGGCAGTGAATATGGTGATACTGTCAGATATGTTGATACATTCTCAGCCAAGAAGGCTAACCAGAAAAAAAGGGTAGAAATTTAAATTGTGGATTGACTCAATTAATTATTGTAGTTGTATTTTGATACAATTTTATCTTTGAAATTAGTATTTTCTGGGTATTTTTCAATGATTCTAGCCTCTAGGAAGTGTCCTACGGCAATAGTAGCCACTGCAATAGATCCCACTGTAGTCCCCATTGACCCAAATTATAGTGTGCTGTGGCAGGGTTTGCGTGTTGATGGAGCTGTGACACTGTGGGAATTGATTAGTTTAGAACCTGCTTGGAGGAAATTTTGGTGTCCAGGTTCAAGAGTTCCTTAAATCATACAACTTGTTAGCAATATGTTTGCCAATTCCCCACAAGTTCACTCTACTGGCCCCGTGTATGTACATTTCAAAAGTGATCCATGATTCATTGGAACATCAACCTACACCAAACAGGATAAAACTCTGATTTGGCTGTGAACAAAGCAATTGCATTCAGTTGGTGCAAATTGCTGTAACCAAAAGGGACTTATATATCTTCACAACAATTCCAATGATTTTTGTATATTCATTGATTTTTGTATATCATTATAACTTTGTTTGTTTGATGCTATTATTATGATCTCATTTGGATAATTCTTTTATTTGATCATGGGTGCTGAAGGCTTTGGTGGACCTAGTGTTAACTGGCCATCAATCACCCAAGGTTTGTTTCTTTTGGAGTAAGCGTCAATTGGTTAATAAAAGGGGTATTTGTATGTTTTCAATGACAAAAGGACATGCAAAATTCTCTTTCTTCTAAACTATATTGGTTTTATCTGATTACTAGCGGGTGGGTGCGTGTAGGGTGGTAGGGTAACATCCCGGGATAGCGGCGAGATGTTGGCCGAGCCGTCCTGCTGTCTGGTTGTGTACCGGGATGGAGATCAACGCCGCTGCGCATGCCATGGACAGAATGTCCCGTTGGTTTGGCGGATCAGCGCTGTCGACAACAAAAATGTTGGATGGCGTTCCTTTTGCTGGTCAGGCAGCCGTGTCTAGCCGCTAGAGATTGGCCTCTAAAAAATTGCACGGGCCTTCTCATATTTATTCCCCATGGTGTGACTGTCCAAGAAAACTCCCAGATGAGACGCGACTTTTAGTGTGTGAGTGGCGATGTGCGTGCCTTTAACGTTACCTATGCCTGCCGAGTGTATGTTGTTCCCCTGAACCCAGTCTCCTGAGTCCTGAACCAATTTAATTTGAAATTAGACTCACTTCACTTCGATCAAACAAATCATCAACACCTTCACATCATATATGATCACAACCTTCAACAACATCAGAACTATCAAAACTAATCAACATCACCAAATCTAAAAATACAATGGATTATCATTCTTTGGGATTAGTACAGTTAGTTGACAACTTTGAAAACTCATTCAAGAGTTTGGATTCAAATTCATCATCATCATCCATTTACTTTTCTCAAATTCATCCACCTTCAAACAGGCCAAGTCCAAAGACTTGTCATTTTCAACATGAACCTACCACCATGTATCTATCCATCTTCATTCTGATCGGTTTACTGATCTCGTGAGTTGGCTTTGATCATCAAATTCTTCAACTTTCTTTGTGTGATTTTGAACTGATCTTTTCTACTTGATCCTCTACATAGATATATTCCTCAACATTATCGAATCATCTCTTCAAAATCGTCTCATGGCATCAGTCCTTGGTTTCTTCTACTAGGATCGATTAGTAGTGCAAGTAGTCTGGTCAACGTCGTCACACTGCAATGGGGGGTCGTTCGATGTTGTCGGTTTATTGTCAGTCTTGTATCCGATCTCTTGGTCATCTTTCAGGTTCTAAGACGTTTTTGGTTCATTGATTTGCAGTCTCCTGGAATGTGTGCTGAATCTATGTTGGGTGTGATGCAAGTTTTCTTGCAATGGGCATGTTTCAATGTCGTGTAAATTGCATTCTAAATCTCCGAGTTTGAGAATTCCATGATGATGACATACTGATTTGTTTTTTTTTCGAATTTTTAGTTTAATTCTATCACTTATTTACTTTCCTCCAGATCGGAAGTATGTAAGGGTAGTCCCAGTGGAATCCACCACACGTGATGCTTCACCCTTTGATCGAGTGACGCACTATTCATCTCATTTCCTATCTAGGTTCTTACTCAAGAGAAAGCTCAATCCGTTCTCTTCAAACCAATCCAATAAACATTTATCAGCTCAAGCTCGTCGTGCATCACTTCGACGAAGGACTTCTAGTTTCTCATCTGTAGCATCTGATATCAGTAGTAGTGATTCATCTTCATTTGATCCGTCCAACGTCTTACCACCTTCAGCTACTCGCTTCACGCCACTTACACTTTCGAAAGAATACACCGTTTCCTTAATCTTAGCTATCATCGTCTTCTTACACTTTCTTTCATCTCTATTCATTACGTTTTGTCTTTTGCTTTCTTTACCGAAAGCGACGATTGGCGAACCATCAGGCACACCACCTACACATGATGGAGAACATCCTACGATCCGATTGCTTCGGATCTGGGCCACCTGTGCTGGACTGATGAGTTTGATCTTGGCTTGTTTTCAATACCTTCCTCAAATCCTTTCGACTTGGAAACTTAAAGTTGTAGGTAGTTTGAGTCTTTCGATGATGATCATCCAAACCCCTGGTAGTTTTATTTTTGTTTATTCTTTAGCTGTCAGACCTGGTGTGAATTGGACCACTTGGATTGTGTATCTTGTGACGGTAAATATGATTTTTCCTCCTGAATGGTTTGGGTTAGTGTGATTGATGAAAGAAATTTGGTTTTGTGAATTTATAGGGTACACTTCAAGGTGGATTACTTGTTTTATGTATCGCATGGAAAATCAGACAAAAATCAATGGGTATAGATGATTGGGGTAGACTGATTCCATCATCACCATCATTTTCATCTCACTCGAATGAATCAAGATCTCAAATCCTTCATCGATCAAGAAGTGAATCATCATCCTCATTCAGTCCCAACGAACGGCACCGAACCTATCCAGAATCCTCTTCGATCCATCCAGAACGTAGACCATTGATGAATAGTAGTAAGCCTAGGATTAGTGCTCAGGTTAAGGATAGTTATCGGAAACCAAGTAATACAAGTCATCGTGATAGTCGATCTACTTCATCTTTACATCGACCAAGTCCTCATCATCATCATCATCATCATGGATCGGCTCATCTGAGTCAAGATCGGAATAGTTCTGCAAGTACTAATGGGAATGGGAGTGGTAGTGTTAAGGCTCATCGAGTTCTCCAGGGTGGGAATTCATTGAAACCTTGATGGATGTTGTTTGTTTTGTTTTGAATGTCTTTTGATTTAGTTTATGATGCTTGATTGGATTTGTTTTGTTTTTCTGTTTTTTTTTTGAGATCTAAGTGTGTGTGTACAGTTATCACTACATTTTATTTTAATAATCATTTGAATTGATCTGATGGGATTACATAATCATCCATTGAAACTAGTGAACTCACTGTTTACCATCTCATAGCATCAAACCATCTCTTACCAACACCAGCACCTACTCACTCTTTAAGCACTTTAAGCACTTTAAGCACTTCAAGGAAGATGAAAGTCAATGAAGATGAAGAATCCCATCAGTTTCATCAAATCAAACATTCTAAATCAAACAGTTTCAACTTAAATCATTCAATCTCATCCTCACCTAAACAACTTCATCATCATCATCACTTACTTCATAATAGAATCAAACATGATTCATTCTCAATCCCTTCATCTTCAACTTCAACTTCAACTTCTTCTACTTCTCATCATCATCATCATCATCAATCAATCAATCATAAATCATCTTCATTATCATCATCTGATCATTTTAATTTAAATTCAACCATTCAAATCAATAATGTCATTCAACAAAATATCATCAGATCTAGATTTCAGTATCATCATACCCATCAATCTCACAATCAAGCTGGTCTTGAAGTCGTCATGTATTTAAAGGTACATCATATCCTATCATCTCATGCACATATCTCATTTCATAATCCATTCACTAATCTCATCTCTTATGAATTGACGCGTCCTGTTTTTTTTTCTAGTTATCAATTCCATATAGTTCATTATCTAAAGTTAACGGTAGATCAGTCATCATTCCATTAATGTCAGATCATCATTTACGATTAAAGAAATCTATCATCTTTCCACTCACTCGTAAATCAACTCATGCAAAACCTACCTTACAAGCTATTCCTAACAGATCAGAAGCCGAAAGAACAGCTTCAATCTTAAACTTATCTAAATCATTTAGAATCACTCCTGATCATCAAAGACAACCTCCATCAGCTACAGTTTCGGTTCGAAACTTTTCAATTTCTCTTTTGATCAGTTTACCTAATCTTCATCATCCTATTGAATCTCATTCGAATCTTTGGGATGATGAACATGCTGTAGCTGAATATGCTTTGGTTTTGGAATCTATCGTTCTTTGGACTACCGTTGGACCTGATTGGCCTTATTCAGTGAGTGATTCGTTTCATCCATCACATCAATTAGATCTAACTGACTTGAGATTCTTCATATCAGGTCATCATTCCTACACCTACCTGTCTTCGTAACTCTTTCAGACTAATGCTTCCCTCTGAGGATGAAAGTGATTCAAATGAATCATCCAACAAAATCAACGTCATCACTTCTCCTACCTTACGACGAGAACGTTTGACAATGTCTTCTACTAAGTTCAATGAGATCTCTACATCTAAATCATGTCCGATCATCCTGGGTGAAGAATCGAAATCATTAACAGATGAATCCGAACCTGATTACTCTGGATTATCTGAAGATGATGAAATCTCATTACGTCCTACTCATTGGACTCAAGACGAATCCTCGAATCGTTACGAAGGTGTTTTTCAAAGTACCAACGAATTGTGTGTTTCGATCAATCATCAACCTATTACTCATGGATCTCTTCCTATTGAGAACTCTATCACGGCTCAACGTGCTGAAACCAATCTGGCCATCTCCATTCATCGTGGAAAGAATCATCATTTATCAAATTCGAATTCTTTATCCCTGACACTTAACCTTCAAGTCACACTTTACAATCTCTCACTGAAATTCGATCAACCTATGATTCCATTTGTGTTTCACCTACCAGATCATATTGCCAGTCAAATCATATCGAGTGAATGGTCTGGTATCACTGGTGACTCTGTGATCGAATCACTCGTCCCTTTTCACGATGCTCAAGCTGATCCGTCTCAAGCCATTCCTTCAACACAAGACACTACCCCACGTAACAAATCTACCAAACCCATCCCAACACTTTCCAAAGAAACTTCTTTGCCCGATCTAGAACTCTTGCATACTTCTGCTCCATTTGAAGATCCGGGAAGCAATCTACCAGGAACCTCTCCATGGGGAGCGGAAGATGGAGAAGTAGAAGCTAGTTTTGAAACTTCCTTTAGTACACCTATCAAACCTCGTCATTCACTCGAACCACATTCCTCACCCCAAATCGATCAAATCCCAGGTGATGTTCGTGGAAGGTTTGTGGTTTGGTTCGATTTGAGCAGTCTGATTCGGTATATCGATACAACATCTAGTAGTCAAGAAAAAGTTTGTTTGAAATTTAATTTACATGGACAGATTGAGATTAGATTGAAGAAGGAAACGAATGAAGGAGCAAAAGGAATGGATTTACCTTTGTTTGGGTTTCCGACTGTTGATCAACATACGTGTTTTATGAACGTTTCTGTGGATCCTTCTCTTTCTCCAATTGGTTCTGAACTTGATGTTAGGCTTCCGATATCTGCTACTCGATTAGATTTAGTGAAGGAAAGTGAAGATGATCGTCATGGGTGTCTGATTCGAGTTAATGTACGTAAAGTAGGACCTGAGATGGGTGTAGAAGAGACGATCAAAGTTTATCATTCAAAGCCAGTTCTAAAGAAAGAAGCAGTCACTTTGATGTCACCTATTGATGGGTTGGACCTGGACCAAGAGCCTAGGATTGTAGTCAAACCGAGACTGAAGAAAAGATTCTCTGCTTCGAGGTATAGACATTCGCATACCATTAGCTCTGGATCGCTTCCGACAACATACAGAAAACGAACGCCTACAACAGATCAGTTGGAACAAATGAAGATTCAGGATATGAAAGTTTCAGATCAAGTAGATGAAGATGAAGATGAGAGTGAAATGAAGTTAACAATAGCTTCGGCTGAACTTGATCTTTCATTCTCGACTACTTCTTGTCAATATCTAGATCTTGGTTTAAGGGTTTTGAAAGAAGGAGGTAATGGAAGAGAAGAACAAGGGATCATTGGAATGCAATTCGTGATTGGACGGAATGATCGATTCGAATTGATTGAAGCGTGGATTGGAACTAAGAGATTAACAGTAGGAAATGGGATACGAGTTTTAGAGCAACGGAGTGAACTTGAAAAGGTTATTGATCTTCAGGTTTGTTTGGTTGAATTCTTTTCGAGGATCATGGTTTGTTGGCATGATGAGTTGGTGATTAGGATAGTTTTGAAGATCTTGAGGTGTGGAAAAGATACGGTAGAGTTGGAGAAAAGAGTGCCGATTTGCTTACCTAGGTTTTCGAGGGATGTTTCTTTACTTGATGTGAAGATTGCGAATTTTAAGAATACTCAGTTGAGCGTTTTGGAGGGGTCTTTTGATATGGTGTCGGGTTTGGCGGACTCGGTGATTCGGTTGAGACGCTATGCTGTTGGAGCTGATGAAAGAAACTTGATCAGGTTTGAAGAAGTTCAAGAAGTTAAAGAAGTTAAAAAAATTGAAGAAGTTAAAGAAACAGAAGAAGTTAAAGAACTTAAAAAAGTTAAAGAAGTTAAAGAAGTTAAAGAAAAAGTTAAAGAAGGGATCAAGATTAAAGAAGAAGGAATAAAGATTGAAAGATTAAGTTGGATAGAAGAAAAGTTAGAAAGCTATGAAATGAATTGGAAGACTGTGATGATGGTTTGGAGTTTGTATTTGATTTTATCATTAAGGTTTGAAGTTTATGAGATGAGTGTCAAGTTTGAAAAGTTTGAAGAACGGTATGGGATCGAAATGGATCTTCAAAATCGGTTTATGAATGATGGGGATGGTCATGGATCTGTTGGCTTGGGTAAGAGGTTTAGGAGTGAGGATTGGGTTGGTGCGCAGGAAATGTGTGGGTTGCAGGGGATGGGGATGGAGAGGGAGAGGGAGAGGGAGAGGGAGAAGAGGTGTGGGTTGGTGCCTGGTGATGATCGGATGAAAGGTTATGAAGCAGTGGAACCATCTATACCTATTAAATCTTCATCTTCATCCTCATCTAAATCTTCATCCTCATCTAAATCTTCATCTTCATCTAAAACATCTTCATCTTCATCTTCATCACCTATACTCGAAGAAATTGAAAAGAAGAAGAAAAAGGAAAAGGTTGAAGGAAAATCATCTATTGGTGAACCGTTTGGGTATATTGAAAAGCTTTGGATAAGTCTTTGGGTTGGAATCAAATCGATTTTTGGATAAGCATTTTGATTGATTTTATACAACCTTTTTTTGATTTTTTGATTTTTTGATATTTTGGTTTTTTGATATTTCGATATTTGGTTTTTTGATGTTTGGATGATTATGATTATTTGATATTTGGATATTTGGATGATTATGATGTTGATTATGATGTTGATTATGATGTTGATTATGATGTTGATTATGATGTTGATTATGATGTTGATTATGATGTTGATTATGATGTTGATTATGATGTTGATTATGATTATGATGTTGATTATGAGTTTTTTTGGGGGATTTATTCTTTCTTGGATATATTTATTGTTTATATGTGTTTAAGCAACTTGAAAAATTAGTTGGATGTAATTTTTTTGATGAGGAAGTGTTTCTTGTTGAATTTTTTTGGAGGTTTGGTGTTGGGTGATCAAAGTGAAGGGGTTTTTGGTGTAAAATTTGAATGGATATGATTTTTTTCCTTTGGTTTGATTTTTACATGTGTTGGTTGGAGTGATTCATTGGTGTTTTTTTGGTGTGTGGGGGTTTGGTTTTGAAGGTTTGAGATTGGAATGTTTCTGGATGAAAAATGAAATGAAATGAAAAATGAACCAAATGAAATGTTATGAATGTTTTGAGTATCAAGAGGTTTCAAGTTTTAAGATGTTGATTGTAAAAGCTGCAACTGAGCCCTGCAGGTCATGGTGAGCGCCCCAAGTGTGATGGCCCCCAAGATGGTAATCAAGGAACGCCTGCAAAACAAACAATATGTGAAATTGTTGAGGTACTGGTGAGTTTTAGAAAACAAGAAATGGAGACAAAGGTTTAGCAGTTACATCAGAAGTCAGAAAGAATTGAATAAATTTTGTGGTACATAGAATCCATGTGTTCTGTCTGATTGTTTTTGCATATCTTTGTATATTTTTATGTTTAGTTTTAAAAATGGCCTGAAGAAAAATTATCATATAAAGAAAAATTATCATACATCTTTCTATATTTTCTTACTTTTCTAAACTCAGTGGTAAATTTGCAATCTGTCCCAGTGAGAGCTAACAAAGCCTCCCCAGGCATGCAAGATTTGAGGCTTCTTGGGGAGACATTAGGGCCCATTCGGCTGGTTTTCGAAAAAATCGTTACACAAAATTGATTTTTCAATTTGCCCCTTTTTCAAGGGGCAGATTGAAAAACTCCAAATTTGGTTTTTTCGTTTACCAAACAGTCGACCAAATCGGTGAATGAAAAATCGAAATGGAGGGGCAAATGAGCCCAAAAACTCTTTTTGGTCTCAAAAACAGCCTCAGGGCTGTTTTTCAAAATTGACATTTTTTTGATCAAAAACCGTTTTTGGTTTTGATCAAAGACCGTTGCCGAATGCTGGTCTTTTTGTCAAAAACCAAAAACGTTAGGGCCCGTTCGGCTGGAACCCAAAAGTTACTTTTGGCCAAAAGCTTCACCAAAGTCAAAAAGCGCTTTTGACCAAAAGTAACTTTTGATTTTGGCCAAAAATTCCGGCGTTCGGGAATCTTGTTTGATCAAAAACAAAAAGAGTTTTTGATCAAAAACTGTCCGATTTTGAGAGGCTGTTTTTGAAACCCAAAAGTTCCTTTTGCCCCACTTCAATCAATCATTTCACAGAGTTCACCCCATCCTCTTTTACCCTTCCACCCTTTTAAACGCTTCACTCACCTTTCTTTCTTACACTCACCTTTCTTTCTTTCTTATCATACTCGATTCCTCTGTCTAGCTTGATGAACCTTTCAACCCTTCCACCCTTTTAAATGCTTCACTCACCTTTCTTTCTTTCTTATCATCCTCGATTCCTCTGTCTAGCTCTATCTTCGCCTAATGTTTGATGGTTTTATTTTTCACCACTGTCTCATCGTCTTTTATTTTAATCACTCTATGTTAGTCTATTCCGTCTCGTCTTTCTTCCCTTGTCGTCTTATCCTCCGGCCTTCAACCACTTCACAACAATACGCTATTTAACCACTCACTCCTCGTTTCTTTCGCTCATCGCCTTATTTCACTCCTTGTCTCTTTCGCTCATCGCCTTATTTCACTCCTCGTCTCTCGCTCATCGCCTTATTTCACTATGGGTACCACCACTACACCCAAGCCCGTGCGAAAACGCGCTCCTAGAGCGATCCGACATCCAGATGTACCTCAGTCACCTAGCCTGGAACCAATGCCCTTGATCTCGTCGACTCCAACCCAGCCCATTGCTCCGAAGCTGCCAATCACCGAAACGCCAAAAAGCTCAAACCTCAAGGCTGAATGGAGTGAAGAAGATAACGAAAAAATGCTTGAAGTTCTCACCGCTGAGCGTCAACCTGCTAACGCACCAATTGGCCCCGAAAATGCTACCACAGCTCATGGATTCAAGATTCCTACTTGGAACAAGGTTGTGGAGAAACTTGCAGGAAGTGAGGAAAAAAAAATTGGTGATAATTTAGTTCAAGTTAGTGCACCCAAAACCATGAAGGCTTGTAAAAATCACTGGTATATTGTAAGTCCTTTATTTTCATCTTTATTCACTATCTCGAAATTGATAATCTTTCGATTTTATAGTTAACTCAATTATACGCTGATTACAAATACTTGAATGGGCTGAGTGGTGCCGGGTGGGAGGATGGATGTGTTACGCTGCCTGATCAGGTTTGGGCACCAATCATGGCTCAGAATGTAAGTTTCATATTTATTTCATATTTTCTATCTTTTTTACTTTACTGACTGGTTCTTTTGATTTTTTAGACTAAAAAGTCAAAGGACTACCCCCGATGCAGAGGACGCCCGTTCCCGTTATTTGATGTGATTGCGACCCTAGTGGAGGGTCACAAAGCTACTGGAAAATACATCACGGGTGGCATTGTCAATAAAACCGAAAAAACCGAGCTAGCTTCAACTTCGATCAACAATAAGCCCGAACCAGCTCCAACGGACATGCCATCACCTTTTATCAGCCAAGCCAAGGATCCTTTTGAAGATCGATTGTCTTCTCAACCACCCGATTTCCATCCTTCCCCCAAATCACCACCTTCTGACGACGCATCCGAATCAATGGACGCTGCTTTCAAGCCCATGGCCGACTCAGACTCGGATGAAACTCCGGCGGCCAAGCGACACCTACTTCTAAGGTAGCATTAGCGGCTCGTGCTCCGGTTAAAGGAAAGAAACGATCAGGAATCCAAATTCTTGATGGTATGTCAAGTGACATGAAGGAGTTTGGCTCCAACATTACAACTTCCTTTGCTTCCACTTCAGCATCAATCGATAATGCAGCCCATACAATTCAAGCTGACAAGCCTTCAAGTCACGCTTCAGCTGTTTCCTTAATTTACAAATCATCCCTTGAAAACACTCAACGCTACATTGCTTTAGATCTATTTGCTGAAAAGCCTCTCATTGCTGAAACTTATGTCAATACACCAGCTCGTGAGCGTGATGGTTGGCTCCAATACATCCTCAACAAAAAAAGTAAGTGCATTCATTTTGTATCATTTATTCAATACACACTTACTGACTGTAACTATTCTTTTCTTTTCTTTATCTATCATCTACCTTCAAGATCAATCTTAAAATATGCGAGTTTTTGTTAACAACTTCAATTAAAATTATAGTGACTGTCTGGTCTTAAGTAAAAAAGATGAAACCTTTATATAAAAAATTTGTTCTGATATTAAAATTTAGTGACTGTATGATCTCAAATAAAACAAATATTAAACCCTCTTATACAATCTCATTAAATACATTTGTAAATATACATGATGATACAAATGTAATAGTGACTGGCTCTTTTTTTAGTGATTGAAATGTTAAAGAATGACTTGATATGGCAAAATAAATAGCTAAGAAAACGGTTGATCAACCTTCTTCAAAATAAGAGTATCGATGAGAGGTCAAAGATCACAGAGTGTGTAAATATCGAACTCTTGAGCAAGTTTTTACGTTTTGATTGCGTAGACGAGCAAAGAGCATTTTGGCTCAAGTTGGGATGAAGATGCGGTGGATGGTTGTGGTCGTTGATGACCGTGATTGATGGTTTTAAAAAGGATTTGATCAAATTGCAAGTTTTGATTTGAACAGTCTTTTCAAACCATCCTTACCGAACAATCGAACCGTGATCAAAAGGTCAACGATGATCAACATGATCTTTTGTTGACCTTTTTTGGTCGACTGTTCGGTAATCTAAAAACGCCGAAATTCAGCTTTTCATTTTGCCCCTTGAAAATGGGGCAAAATGAAAAGTCGTTTTTGTGTAACGACTTTTGGGAAAAACAGCCGAACGGGCCAAACTTAACAAAAGTCCCTTGTTTTTTGGCTGTACTGGCCAGCTCAAACGAGGGACTTACCCGTAATGTCCCAAATTTGGCGTGAGATCTGTCGGGGTTTTTCACAAAAACCCACGATCCTCACTCCTCAAAAATCATGATAATAAACACCTCTTGCGCAAATAATGAACCACACGCGCGGCTCTGCCGCGCTTCATTCTCCGCTCTCAAAACCCAAAAAGCTCATCTGGTGCAAAAGTTATTCCATAAAAATGGTAACGGGGCTCAGCCGGGGCTGAACAGGGCCTCGCATTTTCCAAATGCTGCGCGATACAAAACATTGCCAAAAGGGTTCGTCAAGCCAACCCTTATTAAGATCAAACGGCATTTCGTCCTCCACAGGGGTCTTAAAGAAAATGCATTTGAGGTCATCTCGTGTGGGCCTTATGGTACGTGCAATACCTTTTCAGCGAAATGTAATCTTATTATATATATGAGATGATACGGTTGAGTCTCACCTTATTCTCTCCGAAATTTATTCACCAAGGATATCCGTTGATATTTACGTCTTCAGCCTGTCCAAACAAATAAGGAAAGCTCATCAGCCTGAGCAGAGTTCAGACGCAAGAGGTCAGAGAGCACGAATTATTCATGGATGATGAATCAACAGCTCACCTCGGCTTGAACGAGTTCACGCCATACGCGCTCTTCGTTCCCGGCGGCATATATTTGATTACGCAGCCCAATGAAAACACCACGAATGACCATCGACGAGTACGTGCCCGTACCCCGGAAAGCTCTTTGGTGTGCCGAGAGTTCTTGATTTCGACGATCCAGTAATGCGAGGATGAACTCTTGAACTGTCAAGTTCTGACTGTGCAAGAAATTGATCATGTTGAAGGACCTATTGACGATAAGCCTTCTCGTTGGCGGAGGGTGATGTGTGATGAAGGTGGAGGCCGAAGGGCTCACAGCCATAATAAACTCCCGCAGCGTCATCCCTTCGGCCATGATCGCGTCCGTGATATGGGCAATTTGCTCCTCCCGCTCAAGCTCGCTGTCCGGAACGACGATTTGCGACAAAGAATCACTCCCGTCAGTTCGCGGTTCTTCGATAGGTGGATCATCCGATGGATGATCGTCCGATTCCGTAGCATGAGAGCCCAGTGGATCCGAAGCAGAGGAATAAGAGTAAGGTTCATAGGCGGCAGGATTATCTGAGGCCGACTGCTCCGATTGAGACTGCTCTGATTGAGCAGGTTCCGATGGCTCTTGTGCCGCAGGTGCTTGTTCCATAGATGTGTTGATCAAGGTGGATGTTTGGCCACACTTCGATGGCGCAGCGACAGTTTGGTGATGTTCGCGTCTGACCGGTTGGAAAACTGAGGCAGATAACCTTGACACTGGTGAGGCACTGTCATAAGTGTCAAACGCCTTCCCGTATCATGCTTACAAAATAATCCAACACGGAAATTGTTGGACCCCTTAGCATGAAACCCACCATACCAGAGGATGGGATAGATGTCTTAGCTCACATATCCAATTGTCACAGCCAGACCACCGGATCCATACCTTAGCATGAAACACCTGTGTATGACTTTAAAGGTGTTTATTGGCATTTCACTCTGAATTTGTCAGAACGGGAGTGGCATCTTAGCTTGAAACTCATGCTCCCAGGGACTCATGCTGAAAAAATTACTGGGAGCGTCTGCCCCCGAGTGACTCTGGCAAAATAGATGTGTTGGATAATTCTTATTTTCAAGCACGTGGTGACCTTTCCCATCTATCGTACACATCAACGAATATTTTCAGGAAGCCCCAACATGGCGAGTGTCCAAACTCCGAAAACCGTAATATCTACGTTGAAAATATGTGAATACATGAACACCTTGGGTTTCACGCCGAAAGAGTTCATGATTACTTTCTTATCGTCGACAAACAAAGACATCGAATATCGCCGACGATTACTGAAAGCCGGTTTGGGTACCAAGGGTACACGGTCCATTGTCAAGAATTTTGGCAAACTGACCTCTGCCTGTGACACCGGCAAAGAAGACTGGGAGGCTATCATCTTAGAACAGGTAAGTGAGGAGGACATACATTACTACCTGGGGGCAGATTGATGACTCACCTATCACCATGTTGATTGTCTGACACATTTCGTTTGGACCTCAGGCCTCGGCCATAGTGAACGACCAGGAGGTTCAAAGGGGTTATTTCCCCACAGGCTCTTATACTAGCTCCAATCGAATTACGCCGGACTATTTCAGCGAAAGCTCTGAATTGCTATGTGCCGAACAAGTTAGAAAAGGGATGAAGTTCCTTCACTGCCTGATTCATAACAAACTGTGTCACGCCCTGAAAGACAAGACTCACGAGCGGGAGCCAGCGGAAGACACGTTGATTGAGGCAGGTGGGATCCCAAACCTGGGGTCCCCGTCGACGGACGAGGGCTTGATGTCCTCCGAGAGTTTAATTGAGGATCTTCCGGATGAGGCGACTGTGTTATCTTTAGAGAATTTGGTCTTCGTGAAAACTTCCCCCAAGGACCTAGCTGCGCACAAACTGGACAAAGTGAGTTTGGAGATCACCTTCCTACGTGTGGGCCCAGGTGCTAAAGTCGTTTGACCGCTTCCAGTTACCAACAATGATATGTTCGATGATATCAGTGGCTTGCAATCGGCGAAATAACGCGATTCCGCTGGCCAACGGCCTCATGACTTTGGCGGCCGGGGTGTCGTGTCGCGTCAACGATTGGCTACACACCTTTGGCTTAACCACGTCGCGTACAAGCATCCTCCAAGCTATGGAACACCTTCGCGTGTTGCAGGAAAGCCGAATGATGGATCTGTTCAAATTTAATCACAAAATCATGCCCTTATTATGTTTCGATAATATTGATATTCACCTTAGAATTCATAATACCAGAATTGACACTTCGTCCCGCCTGTTCCACGGCACCTGGGGCTTTTACAACGTCATTCAATCCACCCTGCAAGCGAAATGCAGTGACGAGGCGGCGAGTATTGCGATGTTTCTGGATTCGATGGCGGCGGCGGATCGCCAACCGGTGGATATTGGTTTGTTTGCACCCAAACCTGCGGACATGGATCATTGGTCGTTAGTTATCAAGACCCAGCTAGCGAAAGCTCTCAAAGAGTTTTCAACTCACATACCTGGTGCCCATAAACTGCCACCCCTGACAACTAAGCCACCAGCCATTGATCAAATCGCAATGCACCAGCCCAACATACATTTCCTTCGTATGATGGACGCGCCCGACTCTTCGGCGGACGGCGTCTCCCGAGTACTGGATGCCGTGATGGGCCAGATCGGAGTCGACAAAGAGGAGTACGCCAACAGACTCCTCATAGCCGGCGGGGACGTGGGCTCCAATCAGCTCCTCGAAAGCCTTCGAGTCAAAAGATTTCCACCAATCAAACCCCTGGAAGGTATCGACTGGGTGCTCTCCATCTTTGGCGGTGCCCACACTACGTGGAACTTTGCCAAAGCCCTATGGGGGCACCACTGGGGCAACTCAGATCAGGGTGAAGACTCCGGAGTCTGGAGGTCTGCATTCGCGCTAGGGCTAGAGTATAAGAAGCCTGTGCCCTCGCAAGACTTCAACAGCATCATGAGGGCTATCCAGATAGGGCACAAAGCCAATTTGGTATTTGCGATCAAGTAAGTGATCTTAAGCAAAGTCTTTGAAGCACAACCCAAGGATGCAACTCACCAAGTCCCATTGGCCACTAGACAAGTCGTCCAGTCATTGCCGAACGTCGATCTCGCTACCGAAGCAGGTGTTACCAAAGTCTTTGACGCGGTGTGGAATCAGTTCTTCGACTCTTCGGCGCTCGCTGCCGCTATGAACAGTGGCGATCATACTCGATACAATTTGATCATGCGCCTGCGAGACTTCGCGACCGTTGTGGAAGCGCAGGAGACTACACGTCAAGGTGACATTGGCAGATTGATGGCTATGTGGAAGCGCTGGTCAGTTATGGCGCAAGGTCTGCCCGGCCTTTCTCATTACGCCCGGCACATTCCTCGGATTTTGATGCTTTTGGAAGAGGACTTACCTAAGTCCCTGGCTCACGCTATCAAACACTCCCTTTTGATACCTTCAAACGAGCGCGAAGGTCATTGGATGGCCATGGATGAATATCTCGAGGTCCACATCTTTTGGCTCAAACATATGTACAATAATACAGTTGGTCATTGGCTCAAATTGTTGAGGCAAGGGTGACAGATAACTCTGGAACTTCTCTTTCTGGTAGGGTCACGGCACTGACATCGAGCGACTGACCCAAAGGTTCTCAAACAACATCCCTTTAGTAAGTGGCCGAATTTCATTGCATAAGTTCGCACGACTGACTACATATATATGATTGATATCTGAAACATAGCTGCGTAAGCTAATGCAGCTCTTAAAAGCGCTTTCTGGCCAGAAGATTGTCTACCAACCCAATTTGAACACCATTACTGAAGACTCGATGAAATCGTACTTGAGTTATGCTGAAGGCAATTTGGCCGATACGACCTTGGCCCACGCGACACCGGTAGCGAATGTATGGCGAGTTGGTCGCCGTAACATGACCAAATTAATCAATGCAGACCGGGCAGCGTCGCAATCTTCGCGCTTCCGGTGGGGCGCATCCAACGTCCTATCATCTTGGGAGAATCAAGACACACCTGGGGAGGATTGAGACGTCATCTTAGCATCCAAAGGCGACAGGGAATGCATGTGAAATAAATACAAGGTTTATCATACCTGGAAACATGGAGTTCCTGCCTCGTTTGTCTTGACCCAGATAATCAAGCTCTTCGCCGTGAGTTTCGGACATCCGCTTGCTACTCGTCGCCGCTGGCGGGCCGACCAGATGAGCCTGAGACCCTTGTGCGCCATTCGCGTTTCCTGATTCTCGCCTAGCAAGGGTGGATCTTTTCTCGGCTCTCGCTAGAGCAGCTTCTTGTTTGGCAAGTTCCGCAGCCAGAATTCGTTGCTCCTTCTTCTGGGCTTTGAGTTCCATAGCGAGCCGCTTCGCTTCAGATGCCGCCTCAAGTTTCTCTTGCGCCCGCTTGGCTTTGGCCTCCAAAGCCAAGCGGGCGGCCAGTTCGGTTGCGTTAAGTTTGTCCTGAGCTCGCTGCGCACGTTCGGCAGCTTTGGTTGAGAGAGCCTGTTGTTTCAATTGTTCACGTGTCTCTTTTAAGGCTAATTTGTGGGCGTCTGACCGGCATTTCAAGATTTGTGCGCCTTCGACTGATACCGGCGTGAGGATGGGTCCGTTAGGTCTACTTGTCGCCAATCGGTTAGCCCTAGCTTCCGCGATGGTGGCTGCCGTGTCGAATTCTACTTGCCATTGGGTGAAACATCTGAAAAGTGTGTCGAACTGTCCAGGTATCATTTCACTAACCAGGATCAACGCCATGTCGCTTGGCGTCGTGATAATGTCGATATTTTTTGCCAAATCCCATGCTGCAGCGAGGTCAAAGAAGTCCTCAGGGCCTAAGTCACACGGACCTTTGAAAGTTTGATGAAATAGCGATGCGAAACCACTTTCAAACGCGGACACCAAGGAGACGAGGAGAGTTGAAGTGCGTATCTCATCCTGGGCACCACAGAAAACAGCGACTGATTTTGGCTGACTCGCAGGAGGCGGTGGCAGATCCGGTAACCCTTTGGCGAGTTTGTCGAGATCTGAAGCACACATGGCGAGTGCTTGATCAAAGTTCTCCGTCGTGAGCGCTGCCTGTGCCTGCCATAGAGCCTCCGCTTCATCTGGGCGACACGTCGAGCAATCGCACGGGGGCATTCCTGCCGCTTCCTGGCGTCGGATCTCCTCGGCAACCTTGGGATGGTTTACATCCAAAGGTATGTAACCATACCTGGACAAACCATCGCGGTCAGCTTGTGTTCCAAGGCCCCGAGGCCATCAAATCTGCCACTCACTTCAAATCGTACGCCAGAGCCACTCGCAAACACACTGGTGTAATTGCGAGTGCGTCCATTCGATCATCGTCGGACTGCACCATGGGCGTTTTGAAATCCGCTACTAAATTCTTCCCATTCGTGCGTTTATGCTCCACTAACATGAGTGCCAGTCCTCGGCGACCGTCTCTGCCACATCGACCTGACATCTGGATAAAATTGCAAGGGTCTTGTCTTCCTACGACAATGACCCTGCGCACCCGATGCCAGTTCTGCCCCAGGCCCAGGGCCAGGGTGCAGCACATAACACTCAATTGCCCTTCAACGAATGCAGCGACGGCATTCAGCTTTGCTTCAGGTCCCGTCAAGGCGTGGTAGCGGCGCGCGAATTTTGAACAAGCATTTCCGGTTTCGGTGGCCTGACCGCGAGAGTTATTGATCAAGTGCAAGTATTCTAATGTGGCATTCTGTGTCCCCGAGTACAAAAGTGTTGGTGGGATAGATTCCGTTGGAATCTGGGTGTGATGGGCGAAGATCCCTCGGAGCGACGCCTTCAAAGGACGCTTGAACGTGCGGCGTATCAGGCGGAGTTCAGGTCGTGTTAATTCAGCTCGACAGAAGCGTACTTCTTGGAGATTGAGCTTGAGGTTTGTTAAAATCGCCTGTATCGCCTGAGGCGTACAGGTTGCTGACATAAGCAGAAGAGGTACCTTCACTGTCAATAGGAAACGTCGCGCAAGATCACCGTACGAGGGCCGGAAAGCGCCAACATCCTGGACCCGGACGTGGCTGGCGAGTTTTTTTGCTTGGCCACTCGCAACCAAGCCCCAGCTATATATCATATGGGCTTCATCAACCACTGTGAGCACCAGACGCGCCTGGAATGACGGGTCTTGCCACATGCGGTCAAAGGTTGAGCTTGTCAAAGAAGCTTCCGGGCTCTGCGTCAAATTCATAGGGGAGTTTGTCAGCATCTATTGGTCAAAGTGAGGTATCGCAATATAATCGCCATACCACATATATAAACGGGTATTTCCCCAGCAATATATCCTCGCAGGCGTGTTTGGTACAGTTTTCACCTGTGAGATTGATGGCACCGAGCTGGACGGACGCTTTTTCACTAACCTAAATAGTTCCAATATGATGATGTCAGTCGTATGTATGTCTTGTGGGAGCGACGAGCAACCCACTCACCTGATCGTCCCCCAGGGCATCCAATGGGTTGATACATAGGATGATCGGCAATGATGTACTATCGTAGGCGTGATAAAACATCTCGGGTACACGGCTTTTGCCGAAGCCAGTACCGGCTAAGAGGAAGGTAGTCCAATTGTTGAGGAGTTCTACTACAGACTGGATCTGCTCAGGCCGCGCTGGGTATCCGTGCAAAGTGTGAAACACTTTGCCTAGCTTGAGAGCCTGTTGGGTTTCGCTAGTGCCGATGAATTCTGGATGCTTCTTTGGAGGCGACCTTGTCGGTTGGCGCGCTCGACTCTGATTAGCCAGTGCTAGCGCGGCAGCGCCGTTTGCGCTTTGGCTCCTTCGTAACATGGGTGGTTAAAGGTAAGTTGGTGGGTGTTTTGCAAGGTGGCGGTAGGTCGATATCAAGGACTTGGTGCTGGTGACACATCTCGGTGGTGATACCGGCGATCATTGTTGGCAAACAACAGTTTGGAACATGCAGATTGGTAGTATTGTCAATAAATTTGGACATTTGCCCCAAATTTATTCCTTTTGGACCACACAGTCGTCTACTGCCCTGGCGGTAGCCCCGGCTGAGCCCCGTTACCATTTTTATGGAATAACTTTTGCACCAGATGAGCTTTTTGGGTTTTGAGAGCGGAGAATGAAGCACGGCAGAGCCGCGCGTGTGGTTCATTATTTGCGCAAGAGGTGTTTATTATCATGATTTTTGAGGAGTGAGGATCGTGGGTTTTTGTGAAAAACCCCGACAGATCTCACGCCAAATTTGGGACATTACGGGTAAGTCCCTCGTTTGAGCTGGCCAGTACAGCCAAAAAACGAGTATGGTGTACGTGTAGACTCATACTGACATATAAACATGACATGGGTAAAACATGTAATTTTTCCATGTCATGTTTGGTCGAAATTCATCCCCAAGCCAAATACCGTACGACACGACTCATACTGACACACATCGACATGGATTTTTGATTTACAAATCCCGTGTCGTAACATGAGTCATCTCGTACATCGTACCGTCCCGGAAGTGTCATACTGACACAACATGACACCAAATGTAAATTTCTCCAGAATATTGCGTTCAGATCGGACTATCCGATAATTGAACTTCATCAATTTCATTCAACTTTTCCACTTCACCCCACAGCCTCTTGACAACGTCCTTTTATCTCCTTCAACTCCTCATTTCCATTTCTCAGTGGTCTATTTTTTAATTTCATTGCAGATTTTTATTATACTTTCCTCTGATGTGACAGATGATTTGCCTACTTTATAATGGCTATGGGTGGTGTTGAGATTGAGTGATGACTACAACATTAAGATTGAATGTCCAATCCAATCATTCTCAATTGTTATATGATGTCAATATACACTTTACCAAATGGCAAAAGAGTCAACAACAGATCATTATGGTTTATGTCAAGCTTTTTGATTGACTGTTTGGTAAAGCGTAGAACCAACTCTAGCTTTTTGGATCTGCCCCTTAAAAAAGCAGTGGATCAAAAAAGTGTTTTTGTGTAACACTTTTTGGCAAGAGTTCCAAAAGGGCCCTTATCTAGGGCCCCATCTTCTTTTGCAAAGGTAATTATAAATTAGAACAAGTGCAAAGTGAATTACAAGTTAGAACTAGGGAAATAAATCAAGAAACAATTTGAGGAGAGAAACAATAATAAACATCTAAAAATGACGCAGACTTCTTGTTCATGTTCTATACTTCTCCTTATCACTGATCCACAGAAAAATCTCATCAGTTAAAGATTCCTTATAGTCAGATAGCCACCCACTTTCAGTGTCCATCCCACACTTGGATCATGATAATTAGGCTTGCGTAAGGTCTGCGTCGAACCCTACCCACAAGAATCTGGTGCGTGAAGCCAACCCAGTCTTGGGGAGGACAGGTACAGTTGAACCTCAGCAGTGACCGTGAATCATCATGATCCAAAACCAATTTGATAGAGGAATGGAGATCAAGTAGTTCCGCATTCACATAGTGAAGAATGACATGCAAGATCTGATTCCATCCTCTATCAAATTGGCCTGTGAGACTTCTG